TTCCCAAGGCTCAGGATGGATGGGTTTTCCTCTGAGCTCCTTGGAGCAAAGATACCCCAAACCAACCAACTGCCCAGAGGTGGAACAGACTTTCCTTTCATTCCACCTGGATCCTTATGACTGAGAACAATGAGCAGAGGAGCCTGGGTCAAGCTCCTTGATCACTTTGCCTCTGAGTTTCAGTCTCTCTCTGACTTTCTTGTCTCTTATATTCTCTCTTGTGAATAAAAAAGGGGCCACATATTAAACCTGACAAGCTCAAGAGGGGCCCCCAGGTCAGGCCTTACAAACTGAGTGACCTATAGTAACCACATCAGATGATCTGAACATAAAAATTCCTAACTAAGCGGATCAGGGTGGGTAGTCATGTCCTAGGCATGTAGCTTCCTTGACAAAGGTCAACTTCTATCATAAGTGAGATGTGTCTATTGTTTCCATGCATCTAGGATAACATACCTTTGAAATGTCAGAGCCATTTTCTGGCCTCCTCTAAGCACAACCGGCACCAGAGCACCAGGCCACAGAACTGCTCATTGGTTTTGTTTTTTGCATTTATCTTCAGATAGAGCGGGAGGGAGGGGGGAAGAGAGAGAGAGAAACATTGATACGAGAGAGACACATCGGGTGGTCGCCACCCACACGACCCCAACGGGGGATGAAGACAAACTGCAACCGAGGTATGTGCCCTTAGCGGGAACTGAACCCGGGGCTCTCTGGTCTGTGGGCCAACGCTCTAACCACTGAGCCAAACTGACCAGGGCTGTTTGTTTTTAATTAAAAAATTTTTTTTGGTTGTTAATCCTCACCCGAGGATATTTTTTTCATTGATTTTTAGAGAGAGTGGGAGGGAGGGAGAAAGAGAGACAGAGAATATCGATGTAAGAGAGATACATCAATTGATGGACTGCAGAACCATTCTGACCATGGCTGGGGATCAAACCTGCAGCCCAGGTATGTGTCCTTGACCGGAATTAAACACGAGACGGTTCAGTCATTGGGCTGATGCTCTAACCGCTGAGCCAAACTGGCCAGGGCTCTAGGTCTCTCTTTAATTCTATCTCTGTGTCTCAGAGTTTGTCCTTTTATTTCTTCTTTATCTTTACAGTCTTTTCTCTTTTCTTACATACAAGTATTTATTCATTCATCCAATCATTCATTCAACAACTATTTCCCAAATCCCTACAATGTGCCAGACACTGTGCCATTCTCGGGACTGGTCAGGGAAGCTTCAAGAAGCTGGGAACTCACCAGGGAGCAGGAGCGCCCTCGCGCTGGCCTCTAGAGCCACCCCAACCTCCCTGTACACGGTGTCTCTGATGCTTCTAGGCCAGTCAGCGATCAGGAAAAGTGAGGCCCGCGCCCTGTCCCTGGTGAGCTCCAGGGCTTGGAAAAGGGACTACAGAGTTGGCACACATTAAATATTTGCTCACGAAATGAAGAATCACGGAGCTGAACATGTGGCCGAGGGACACAGTGTAGGGTCACGGGAGATGTGGGAGCGTGAATGTGCAGGTGCAGGGGCCGTATTTCTGCTTTTGCTTCTTGGGGTAAAACAGGAATTGCAGATCATGGACTCTCCCTCTGCCTTGCTTCAGACTTTTGGTGTCTCTGAGAAGGGAGCGTTGGCACATGTCTGGCTCCCTAGCTTTTGTGTCTGCTGTCCAGAGGACGCATCCCTTGACAGTCTGACTCTGGTGGCCAATGGGGCTTGTGTTCACAGTTCAACGGGACAGCAGCAAAGAAACAGTTCTTAATGGCTGTCACCCCAGGGCTCAGCACAGAGGGAGCAGACAGAACTGCCCATCTCCCAGTGTTCCCCTGACAGAGGTGGATTTGCAGACTTTTAGAAGCTGCTGCCTGAACAGAAACAGACTCATAGGCTCAAAGAATGTTTTGATGGCTTGTCAGATGGAAGGGAGGTTGAGGGGATGGGTATAGAGAGGTGAAGGGATTAAGAAGTACAAATTGGTTGTTATAGAATAGTCATGGGGATGTAAAGCACGGCATAGGGAACATAGTAATAATATTCTAAAAACTATGTATAATGTTAGATGGGTGTGAGATTTATTGGGATGATCACTTGGTATTATGTAATGTCTAATCATGGGGATGTACACCTGAAACTAAAATGTCAACTGTAATTGAAAATAAAAATGATAAAATTAAAAAAAAATAATAGCCCGGCTGGTGTGGCTCAGTGGTTGAGCATTGATCTGTACAGCAAGAGGTTGCCAGTTCGATTTCTGGTTGGGGCACATGCCCAGGTTATGGGCTCAATCCCCAGTAGGAGGCGTGCAAGAGTCAGCCAATACATGTTTCTCATATGGATGTCTCTCTCTCTTCCTCCTCTCTCTCTCTCTCTCAAAAAAAATTAATAAAAGCATATTTAAGCCCAGCAGGTGTGGCTCAGTGGACTGAGCATTGCCCAGGCACCAAGAGGTTGCCGATTTGATTCCCAATCAGGGCACATGCCTGGGTTGCGGCTTGATCCCCAGTGTGGGATGTGCAGGAGGCAGCTAATCAACATTTCTCTCTCATTGATATTTCTATCTCTCTCCCTCTCTCCTTTCTTCTCTATCTAAAAAAAAAAATCAATAAAAATACATTTTAAAAAACATTAAAAATAATAATACACCTGGTTGGGTGGCTCAGTTGGAGTGTTGTCCTGTACACCAAAGGATTTTGGGTTCGATTCCTGGCTGGGGCACATTATCTGAGTTTCAGATTTGATTCCTGCTGGGGTGCATAAAGAAGCAACTGATCTGCCCTGGCCAGTTTGGCTCAGCGGTTAGAGCGTCAGCCTGCGGTCCGGAGAGACCCGGGTTCGGTTCCCGCTAAGGGCATGTACTTCGGTTGCAGTTTGTCCCTGGCCCTGGTTGGTCGTGCGGGTGGCAGCCACTCGATGTGTCCCTTCACGTCGATGTTTCTCTCTCTCTCTCTCCCTTCCTCTCTCTCCCTCCCACTCTATCTGTACAAAAAATGGAAAAATATCCTCGGGTGAGGATAAAAAAAAAAAAAAAAAAGAAGCAACTGATCAATGTTTCTCTCTCTCTATCTCTCTCTCCCCCTTCCTCTCTCTCTAAAATCAATAAACATATCCTTGGGTAAGGATAAAATAATAATAATAAATAATAAATAAAAGCTGCTGCCAAGGGTTTGGCTTCCTGGATCTAGGTGCTGACCGAGATCCTCCCCTTTGAGACACTGGCAGGTTGTAGCCCACCCTCAGCTATAGGACCCTCTAGAAGAAAACTAGGCTGCTTGGGAGCCCCAAAGGTCGGAGGGACAGCGAGAGCTAGGGCGGGATGAACAGCAAGGTTCGTCTGCTCCAGGACGCTCCTCCGAGACTGGTGAGGTGGCTCCTTACCTGCTGCACAGAGACCAACACAGAGTCCGGGAAGATGAAGAAACAGAGGTCTATGTTCCCAATCAAGGACGAGATAAAACCTCAGAAAAAGACCGAATGAAATGGAGATAAGTGGTTTATCCGAGGAAGAGTTCAAAACAGAGGTCAGAAAGATGCTCACTGAGCCTGGGCAAAGAGTGGATGAACCGGTGAGAATGCCTTGCTTCTTTCAGTGCTGATTTCATTCCATTTGTGTGAGAGAAGAAGCCTAAGTAATTACAGGAAGGCCTAATTAGAAAGAGAAAACGAGAAACCCAGAGAGAGATTCCAATATCGGGTCCGTTTGAAGCCATCATTCCCGCCTTGCTGAGGGCGAGAGCACATGGCAGCCGGAAAAGTAGTTGTAACGTCTGGGGTCCGGGACGTTAGAGGGGAAGGGCGCCGATTGGCAGGTTTCAGTCCCACGTGTTACTTATCCAGATGTGAATACATTTGAAGAAAAGTTCAGGATGTCTATCAAGGTCTAATCAAGTCTTAACATGAACTTTTTGTTGGTGTTAAAGGTGAATAGTCAACAGCTTGTTCATTCACTTGAATTGGGTAAACCAGAAGCCATAGTTTTATTTTAATTTTATAATTGGCAAATCGGCATAGTTCAGGGACACTGAAAGACTTCAGAAGAACTAGAATCACTGATATCAGAGATCCCATAAGACTCCCTTTAGCTCTCTTTAAACCGGATTTTTTTCTTTAATTGCCATTCTCTTTGAAGCATTTTCTATGAATTAATTCAACAGAGTGAAAACATGGTCTCCTCATGGTGGCCCGGTTTGTATTTTATGGGCCCGTCAATGTGAAAAGTTTCCCATTCTGAATTCCAAGATAGAGGACGTTTGATGGCCCCTGACAAGTCTGGTTTTGGGTAACAGAGCAGGTGACACGAGAGAAGAAAGGGTACTCCTGAGAACCACTGCTGGGGTCAGGCTGCAGGCAGCAGTCTAAGGAAGGGGTCGTCACTGCTGAGCCTCACAGAAGGACTCCTATAGAAAATGCTGGAATCATTTGTCAAGTTCTTGGGAGAAGAGTGTTGGGTCACAGGGAAAGGCAGCAACTGTCAGAGCCATCTCAGACCAGGCCTGCACCCTCAGCACACGCGTCCCCGGAGCCGTCTGCTCAGCCCGAGCTCACCCTTCCACTGGGCAGATACGTCCCAAAGTAGACGTATCGATATGGGAAGCAGATTGCCTACCCCGGTGATTCGGAACTCAATGTCACGTGGAGATTTGAATTTGATGAATGCGTGCAAGTTGAAATTTCCTTGAGTCCTGACAAGTTCATCAACAACTAGAGCTGCCCAAGGTCCTTCCTGCACTTCCAGTTCACCGTGTTAAAAAGGTGGCGCTGGTGGCATTGCAGCAGTGAGCGCTACAAGCGAGGGTGGGAAGGATGCCCTCAGCTGCGCGGCTCTGGCTCCCGCCGGAGGTGGGAGTGGAGGCCAGGCTGTGGATCTGCGCACCTGCAGCCTGTTTCTCCCAGAGCCAGATGGGCTGTGTGTGGGAATCCTCCCAAGTGCTACAGACTTGAGCCAAGCCTTTAAATTAAGAGCAACCTGTAGAGGAGAAAGGAGACTGGGTGTGGGCTCGGGCCACGTAAGATGGAGATCCAATTGCCTGAAGTGCCATTGTTGAGAATCTTCTCCCTCCTGGATGGACTCAGCTTGCTGCGGGTTTGCCAAGTGAACAAGGTGAACGCTCTCCACCCTTCGCAGCTCTGTCTGAATTGACCACTACCGCCCACCCTGTCAGTGATGGCACAGGACCCCTCTCACGTCTCTCCCTCAGCCTTGGGATCTTGGTTACCCCAACATCATACCCACACAGCCTTCCTTCATTCCTCCAATTTACCTTGCTCAGGCCTGCCCGTTCAGGTCTAACATACCCTTCCATGTCCTTGGGAGATAGTTGCGTCTCTTGACCAATTTGAGTACCAATTTGCAGAATAACAAGAGTGGTATACTGAGTGTTTGGGGGTTAGCATCCTTCACTCTGAGACTCATGTTTTGATCAATGAAAATGACAAATTGATGTACAGGAGTCGTTGTGCTGACTAAACGCTTCTTGAAGCTCTGCTGTTATCATGTCCCATTGCCCCAGACTGGGAGGGCTTTGAGAGCAGGATGGTGGCTGGTTAACCCGTGTGGGCCTTGCTCCTAGAAGAGATGATAGCAAAGGAGGAGCCAACATTTGGGTACCAATTGCCTGCTTATCTCTTCCTTTCTCTCCCTCAGTACTGGAATAAGGTTGCAAATAGTGATCACCTGTGGAGGTAAGCAAGGGAACAGGGGAAAGGGGGGAAGACAGGTGTCTCTAGGGGAGAGGAGACGTCGGGTTTCTACCGGGGCCTGTGTGTGGCTGTGTTCTGGGAGGCATGAGTGAAGTTTGCAGAGAGTAAAGATTCATGCGGTACCTGTGGTGCTGAGGAGGTGGGCAGTCTGGTGGGACTGTGACTCTTTCCAGAAACCTGTGTCTGAAGAGATGGAGCTTCCCCTATCAGTGCCTGGGCATGGTGACGTGGAAGCAGTTCTTCCTCACCCAAACAAAGCGAGAGCGTCGGATGGCGTGTGCACGGCCAGAGGACTTTGTCTACAAGGAAGCAACTGGCAACCTTGGTATGGGGACCGGGCAGCATGATGAACTTGTTTTTAGAATATTCACTTTGTGTGTGTGTCCTCATTCAGTGAAGAGAAAGGGAATTAAGACTTAATAGGACTGGGTTGCTGTGGGGACAGTCACTGGTCTTCCTGCTTCCTGCCTTGTCCCTTGTGATTTATGCTGCATGGAGAAGCCAGAATGATCTTTCACAGCATAAAACTAGGCCTGTTACTCCCTTTTCCCAAAGGCTTCCCATCTGCCCAGAATAAAAATTTTAGCTTGGCCAGTGTGGCTCAGTGGATTGAGTGTTGTCCCATGGATTGAGGCACAGGCCCGGGTTGCAGATTTGATCCCCAGTGAGAGGGTTACAGGAGGCAGCTGATTGATGTTTCTCTCTCACATCGATGTTTCTCTCTCTCTCTCTCAAAAAACAATAAAAACATATTTAAAAAAATATTTAAGAAAAAGGAAATATTTAAATCATAGTTCTTTTTTTTCTTTTTTAAAATCTTTACTGTTGAATGTATTACAGATGTTCCTCATTTTCCCCCCATTGACCCCCTCCTCCCCACTCCCGCCCCACTCCCGCCTTTTTCCACACTATTGTCTGTGTCCATTGGTTATGCATATAACTTCTTTCGTTTATTTCTTCCCACCCTCCCACAACCCCTTTCCCTTTGAGATTTGTCAGTCTAGCAACCAATTTGTACTTCTTAATCCCTTCACCTTTTTCACCCATTCCCCCAACCCCCCTCCCATCTGGCAACCAACAAAATGTTCTCTGTGTCTATGAGAATGTTTCTGCTCTGCCTGTTCATTTTGTTTGTGGATTCCATTGTTGATAGATATGTATTCATTGCCATTTGGTTTGTTCATATATTTTATCTTTTTCTTCAAAAAGACCCTTCATCATTCATATAATAACGGTTTGGTAGTGATGAACTTCTTTATCTTTTTCTTGTCTGGGAAACTCTTTATGTAGCCATCGATTCTAAATGACAGCTTTGCAGGATAGAGTAATCTTGGTTATAGGTTCTTGCTTTTCATCACTCTGAATATTTCTTGCCACTCCCTTCTGGCCTACAAAGTTTCTTTTGAGAAATCAGCTGACAGGCTTATGGGAACTCCCTTGTAGGTAACTAACTGCTTTTCTCTTGCTGCTTTTAAGATTCTCTTTGTCTTGAACCTTTTGCATTTTGATGATGATGTGTCTTGGTGTGGGCCTCTTGGGGTTCATCTTGTTTGGGACTCTGTGCTTCCAGGACTTGTATATCTGTTTCCTTCGCCAAGTTAGGAAAGTTTTCTGCCATTATTATTTCAAACAGGTTTTCAATTTCTTGTTCTCTCTCTTCTACTTCTGGCTCCCCCAAGATGCGAATGTTGGCACGCTTGAAGTTGTCCCAGAGGCTCCTTACACTATCCTCATTTTGTTGGATTCTTTTTTCTTTTTGCTGTTCTGATTGGGCATTTTTTGCTTCCTTATCTTCCAAATCAATGGTTTGCTTCTTGGATTTACATACTCTACTATTGAATCTGTGTAAATTATTCTTTATTTCAGTTAATGCCTCCTTCATTTCTGACTGGTCCTTTTTGATGCTCTTGAGGCCCTCACTAAGTTCATTGAGCATCCTTATAAGCAGTATTTTGAACTCAGCATCTGTTAGGTTGCTTATCTCCATTTCGCTTAGTTCTTTTCCTAGGGTTTTGTTCTGTTCTTTCATTTGGGACCTGTTTTTTTTTGTCTCCTCATTTTGGCTGCCTCTCTGTGTTTGTTTCTGTGTATTACTTAAGGAGAGGTATGGGGCTATCTGAGACCAGATGCTGCTTGTTTGAAAGAATTTAGAAAAACCTGAGGCAGGATCCCAGACAGGCCAATCCTATGGTTAAGCAACTGGCAACAGCTTGGGTGGGCCTGAAAGTTGGGTGGGGCGGGGCCTCAGAATCACCAGGGCGAGGCAACCAGTGTGAGCCTGGCTGCTGGAGTCCCAGATATGGTGCCTGTCTGCTGCCCCAGGGAAGGGCTCACCAAAGGAACAAAGGCCTCTGACAGCACGTTTGTCCCGGAGAAAGCCCCTTCTCCAGCCCTCGCTCCAGTGCCAAACAGCCTAGTTCTTCCCTGTGTGTCTCTGGCGCCCCTCTAGCTGCCTCTCCTCCAAGCTTATAGAGAGAGAGTCCGATAAGTCCGTGCGCGGGCCCTTTAAGGAGCTGCCTGGGGCTCCAGCCGCCTCAGCCTCCCTGAGCCTCAGTTCCTGCTGATTTTTCCAGCCAGAAGTTATGGGGATTTTCTTCCTGGCACTGGAGCCCTGAGTGGCGCACCTGGTGTGGGACGGGGACCCCTCAGTCCTCAGGGAGGACCTTCCCAGCCGAAGTGTCCTCCTGATTTTTATCCGCCACACGTGGGTGTGGGACCAGCCCGTCCCCTCCGCCCCTCCTACCAGTCTGGATGTGGCTGCTGCTTTAATCCCGTAATTGTAGGACTTCCATTCAGCTCGATGTCAGGCGGTTCTGAATGATGGTTGTTTTGTAGTTTAGTTGTAACTTTGACGTGGTTGTGGGAGGACGCCATACCGCGTTTACCTACCCGCCATCCTGACCGGAAGTGTAGATAACAGTTCTAATGCTTATTTTATTTATGTTATCTCTTTTGAAACTCAGGACAGTTCTCTGATGGAGTGATTTTTTTAAAGTATTTTTATTTATTTTTTTACAATTTATTTTTATTTTTAATTTATTGATTTTTAGATAGAGGAAGGGAGAGGGAGAGAGAGATGGAAACATCGATGAGAGAGAACATCGATTGGCCGCCTCCTGCTTGCCCCCCACTGGGGATTTGGCCCACAACCTGGGCATGTGCCCTGACCAGAAATCGAACTGGCAACCTCTTGTTGCATGGGTCAATTGTCAACCACTGAGCCACACCAGCCGGGCTGATGGAGTGATTTTTATCTCCATTTTATATCTATGGAAACTGAGATTAATGAGGAAAAACAAATCAGCCAATATCTCTTCAGTTGCCAATCTGCAATGGAAACCCAAGTTTGAATGGCTCTGAAGCCCAATTTCCATCCTATTCTCCATAAAGGTGGCAAGAAAACTTAAAATTTTCTCTCCAGAATTCTCTTTATTTAATTGGATTATTTCTCAGTTGCCTGGTGGCCAAGTATTGTCTGTGTTGCCTTCTAGGAATCTTGGGACCTATGGCTTATCTCTCAGGAGGTGGCTTCCCGATGAGTGGACAAGAGAAGTCACTCATTTGCACAGTGTCTTCAAAGCGCATGCTTTTTGTCTGGGATGTGCAGGAGGTGAGTCTGGCCAATGAGGAGCACAAGTAATGCATACCTGTGTCCATCCGGCTCCACAGGTGAAGCTAGTGCTGGGAGGAAAGTGATACTCAATTGATAACAGAAACAAAGCTTCAAATCAGGTCTTCTAATTGGTAACCTGTGACCTTTCCATTTAGACTATAGCACATAGAGAATTCATCTTTTGCCCTGGCCGGTTTGGCTCAGCGGTTAGAGCGTCGGCCTGCGGTCCAGAGAATTCATCTTTTAATATGTGTTTCTATATATAAACTTGTGCAAGAACTTATTTTCTATTGGTAACATGGAGTGACTTTGTGGAGTAAACAATTTTTTGGCCTTGTGCTTCATTACCTATTCTATTGCCTCTCTGTCAACAATAGGCATTTGTTTTATTGGCTTTTTCAGAAAGTGGTCTCTAATTCAAATGACCTCCAAGGGGACACAAAGTTTGTCTTATATATCAGGACCAGCCTGTGCAGTGCTTGAGCACTGGAGAGGGGATTGGAAGACCCCAGTGGGTCCCAAATTATGTTATCTTGGTTTTCCCTGTTTAGATTTCTCCCTCTTTCCTATAAAAATTATATAGTAACTCTTTCTAACACAGGGTCTTCTGCTATATGTTAAATACCCTTTTATGAATGTATGAGGTGGCAGATAAATGAGATAAAATTTTAGAAGGGTACCCACCCTTACATTAAACTTATATAATGTTATATGTCAATTACATCTCAATAAAGCTGGGGAAAAATAAATTAGAAGGGTATTCTCTTGGATAACTTGCTCTAGGGGGAAACCAGTCACCATGTCCCTGAGGACATTTAAACAGTCCAACGGACAAGTCCACATGGCAGAGAACTCAGACCTCCTGCCAACAGCCAATAGCAACTTGCAGTCATGTGAGTGAGCCATCTTGGAGGCGAAGCCTCTGACCCCAGACGAACCTTCAGATTATTGCATCCCCAGCTCACATCTTGCTGCAACCTAACAAAGAGACTCTAAACCAGAGCCAGGTGATTAATCCACCTTTGAATTTTTCACACAACAGAAGCTGTGTGAGGTAAGTATTAACTGCTTTAAGCTACTATGTAATTTGTTATGCAGCAATAGGAAACAAATATAGCTTTTAGTACTGGAAGTGAGGTGCTGCCATAGCAAAAACCTAACATGTGGAAGAAGCTTTGCAGGGGGCAGGAGCTGGGAAGACTCTGAGGATAGTATTGGGCCTTGAAGAGACGGTTAGCAAGACCCTAATGGCTTGTCATGAGGCTGCCGGTGAGAACTTAAAGGAAAGTCTGAAACACATAATTGGATCCTGGAGGGAAGTGGATCCTTATTACATAGTGGCAGAAAGTTTGGCAGCACTGTCACCCATGGTAATGTAAAAACTAGAAAATAAATCTAATGAATTGAGTGATCTTGCCAAGGATATTCTCAGGCAGAATGCTGAATGCTGGCTTCTTGCTGCTTACAGTAAAATGCAAGAGAAGAGGGAGTGGATAAAGTAAGGACTGTCAAACCACAGAGAACCAAGGATTGCTGGTTTTGAAAATTCACAACCTGTCTAGATGGCAAATGATGCTAAAATTTCAGAAGTGGATTCCAAGCAAGATCAATCCAGGGCAATGTCAGTAAACTATCCTATTACACTGAAGCCAAAGGGTTGACTGCAAAATTCTTTGTTAGACCACAGAGATCTAAAGAGGTGCCCCAGAACTGTTCACACAAGCAATAGGACTTCAAAGAAGTTTAAGACATTGTCCTCAGCAGCTCCAGCAGAAGCCCAAGGTATCAAAGGATTTATCTCAAAGACTTATGAGTGTGGCTCTTGTCTAATGATATAAACTCCAATAAGGTTCTTTGGAAAGCCACAAAGTTTTTGAGAAAATTATATTGGCAGGAACACTGCCAGCTTGGGATTAAAGGGGTTGAGCTATTACAAAAGGGAAAGAGACTTTTGAATCCCAGACTTTTACAGGCAGGAAGCAGGATGCAAAAACTACTCGGCTGAGAAACTGAGCCACCATATATGGAAAAGGAAGGATGTCTCAGAAACAGAACCAAGAGCCTGGAGAGTGGAGCCAACAGTCACGAAGAATCTTTCCCAGGCCTTGAGTCCTAATCAGCAAACCACCAAATGTTCTCTATTGGATTTCAATTTTTTGTGTAACAGAAATTCCTTGTTGCTCCCTTCTCCCATTTTCTACTTTCTTCTTTTTTGAATGAGACTGTCTATAAAGTTATCCGATGCCTGCCCTACCCTTGTATTTGGGGAAAATGGGGGACAGAAAACTTATGTTTAGTTCAAAGTTTTTCACATCAAGATGAACAAAATCTAAAAAGCCTCCTTTATACCTCAACCTATTTCAATAGTGAGATCCTAGATTTTTAGATGATGCTATAATGGTATGAGGTGGTTGAGGGCAGTGGGATATGGTGAGTGTATTTTGCATGTGGGAGGGAGGTGACATTAGGGGCTACAGGGCCGACTGGCTTAGCCAGCCTCTCAGATGGCCCTTAATATCCCTTGTTCCATAGTATTAACAATCGTATGTAGTCTATTCCCACACTGAATAAGGCTGAGCTTTGTAACCAATAGGATATTGTAGAAATGATGGTGTGTAACTTCTGAGGTTAGGTCATAAAAGACATTTTCTCTCTTTTGAGTCATTGACCACAATGTTATGAGGACAGGACACTGTGAAGCCCTACAGAGAGGTCTGTGTGGTGAAGTACTGAAGACTAGTGCCAGTAGCCAGCACCAACTTGCCAACCGTATGAGCGAGTCATTTTGAAAGTGGAACTTGGCTTCAACCTCCTAAGAGACCCTGAGCCAGAACTACCTTGCCAAGCTACACCTGCATTTCTAACAAACTGTAAGATAAAAATGTATTGTTGTTTTAAGCTGCCCAGTTTATGGATATTTTTACAACAGACAACATGACACAGCCAACCTGTTTAGAATTAGGAATCGAAGCAGTGATTACATCTGGGGATGGTGGAGGGGGTAATAAACAGAGCAAGTACAAAGGGGCTTTAAGAGGGCATAGATCATTTTGTAATAATTCATTAAACTTTACAATTATGTTTGTGTTCTTTTCTTTGATATATTTTACAATTTTAATGAGACTAAAGGAGATCCTAGAAGGAAAACTTTTCTTCTGCCTTGTTTTCAATGTACACGGATGATGGAATAACGATTATCATGATAGTTGGTACCCCTTGAACTCCAACTGTGTACTAGGCAGAAGTCTAGGCAGAAGTCTAAGTACGTTTCACACGTTGTGAAATGTAATACCCCAGCCCTGTAAGCAGCCACAGTGGTAAGTAACTTGCCGAATGTCACACTCTTAGTAAGAGGCAGAACTAATTGAACCCAGGGAGTCTGGTCCTTTATGCTCACTATGTGGGTCCCTGCCTTTGAATATATTGTATAATTCCTTTTTCATGTTCACTAACCCTCAAATAGCTGAGATGTGTAGTCAAATTTTCTTATTCTATTCCCAGAAAAAAATAAATAATCTGATTTGGAGGAGGCTTCCAAACCGACACTGCAGATGAACACACAGTGTTGCTCTCATTCTCTAGGGCACCATGATCTGGTCAAGCCCGGTCCAGCAATCTAGCATCAAGTATCTGGTGACCCTCCCGCAGATGTACCTTGCATTCACAGTGGATGTACAGAACACTATCAAAGTGTGGAATTGTCAGCATGTGGACGCTCTGGCTACGCTCACCATGCCTCGGGCCTGTTTTTCCTTTGAAGCCATTCTGACAAGTGATGGCCCCTTCCTGATGGTAAGTGAGCCCTGTGTCTGGAGGGGCCCACGAAGCCTGCAGCCTTGACAGGTGTTGCAATCCCATTACTGTCCCATCTCAATCTGTCTCCTTGAGGCACCTCTATCACATACTCCGAGAGTCACAATAGACTCATGAATGTTGGCTGGACAATCTTGGTCTTATACCTCAGGTACGTTTCCCCAGTAATTCCCTAAAAAAACACCTTCCTGTATTATTTCATATCTATTTTTCTTCTTTCAAGTGTGTCTTTTTGTAGAGTACATGAACTTGGACAGGGACTGTGGAGGGAGAGACGTGGGTTTGGGGAGACACTGAGAAATAAGTATTGATGTGCTCATGAGTCACTATCCCAGCGTGCTTTGGGACGGAGGACGTTTTGTTCCTTGGGATCATCTGAGCAACCTTGTGGGGCAGGCTGGTCAGAGGTGTTAATGCCCGTCATGTGATGGAAGAAATGGCACCTCCTGCAGCTGCCAGGGCTGCCTTCTGTGTGCTTTAGGATTTCACAGCTCTTTCCATTGACACCGTGGTGGTGCTTTGGTTTCAGGTAGGCAATTCTGAAGGTGACATCTTCACGTTGACAGTGCCTGAGTTAAGGAACGTTTCTAAAGTTAATGCATTTAACTACAGTGTTGATCTTCTACGCTGCTCTCCTGACAAGAAATGGATCTTTGCTGGTGGGATACATCAACATATCGTGCCAAGGGTAAGCGCTGCCCTGTGGACTTTAGCCCCAGAAGGAGAGAATCAGTGTTGGGACGGTGAAGTCGGGAAGTATTAGCCAAACAGACCAGACAGCGGCTCCCTTCTCTCAGAGGCCATAGAACATGTGGGATCCATTCCTAGAACCATGAAACATTGTTCTTTGAACCAACAACATGCAGTCACAAAGACAAATTGTGTATTAATGAAAATTAGCTCATGAAACCTGAATCAGCCAAAGAGATGGAGGAGGGTGAGAGAGACAAAGAATTAGGATCTGGTTCACTTTGGCTCTTTTTATTTTACTTTGAGATACCTTGGAGGAAAGGACAAGGTCAAGGAGTAAATAAAAGTGCATCAGGCTCTGAATATCACTCCGTGAAAGTGGCGTTTTGAGCAGGCCTTTTTACATGGCGCATGTGCACTGGGCACTAGAGAGCAAGGAGCTAAGGGAGGCAGCAGCAAAAGCAGCTCAGCCCTAGTCAAGTTTTCCAAGAAGGGAAAATCTGCTTGGCCAACCACAGCTTGATTGGGGATCCAATGTGGCCACCTGCTTTTGTAAGCCCTTGTCATGCCGGAAGAGAAGCTCTGGGGACTCTGCTCTATGTGTGACCATGACAGACAGGATAGGAAGACAGTGAGTGACAAGCAGCGCCTATTCAAGCCTTCCTGAGATTCAGAATAAAGCTTTGGCCACAGTTGAGGATTTTTAAAGAGGATTTTCTGGAGTCGCTTCTGTACCAAGATGCTGTAACCTCTCCCTTCGCCTGACTACGCACAATGATCTCTCCATAGGTACTTGTCACCGAGTGCTTACTGAGACCATCAGCAGACAGAGCCCCTCTGTCTGTTTCTCTCCCGTTTCCATTTTGCTGCGGAGCCTGCTGGGCCCCGAGGAGGGCAAACAGGATAACGCTGATGTTCCGAAGAGCTTCTTTCAAAAAGACAGGGTTTGCTACCTTTGATCTAACAACTGAGTGGACTCAGGATGGAACAATCATCCAAGGTATGCTGGCCACCTTGTTTCTCTTCTGGATCACACATGCACTCATTTTAAGCTATAGCTGTATGTAAATAGGTCAATCTGTGTACAGGAGCAGGGGCCATCTTAGCTGAAGGCTACCCCATACCTGTTTGATTCCAACGCCCACGCTTCTGACCTCTACACTCCACTGAGCCCTCTTGGGCAAAAATGTTTAGATTCCCATCATGCTTTAGGGCCTGATTTCACTGCCCCTTCCCTCAATGCCTGACCTATTGTTTATTGTCCACAGTCCTATCTTCCCGTGTGGTGGCACCTAACCATAACCCTAACCCTAACCCATTACCATAGTCAGTGACACGTATTTTCAGGCCACTGGCCTAACCATTTTCCTCACTGGACTGAAGTCCCCTGGAAGTAGGGAGTCTATTTTTTCATTCAGGGTAAGAATAGTGTTCTGACTAAATGACCCAAAGTTTGCCTGTGTGTGTGCGCGCATGTTTTACATGAAAACAGCCAATCAGATCGCAAGTTTCCTGTTGCCGATTAATATGGAGAGTCCTATTTGTATGGGAGTCGGTGATGGGAATGTGATTGTCTTTGAGAGTGGGCCACATCTGTTTCTCTTCACCATCAATGGCTTCCTGCTGCAACAATTTCAAGACCATCAGCTGACCATCTGCAACCTATGGGTGGTATGTATGCCCTCTCTTCCCACACTGCTCATTGCTCTGACCTTGACTCTGGACCACTCACCCCTGCGTATCCTTTGAAGGATTATCTCCGTGTCCTCACCACCTCCATGGATAACTATCTGCATTTGTACACGTGGGAAGAGGAAGGTCGTTATCCACACCTCAAGAGCTGTTGTCACCTGGAACACAGAAGGGACGATCATGCACCAAGCTGGTAAGCCCTGCTTTGTGACTTAACCTTTTCCTAAACATTTTACATTTCTCCAGTAAACAAATTAATAAAGGGGTAATAGAATTGTAAAGAAAAAAGATTATTTGAGGATATTATGAATAAGCATATGCCCCAAAAGAGAAATTCTTGTTCTTGGAGTGTGTCCACAGCCCTTGCAATAGATTCCAAAAGGCTTTCCAGTACGGCTCTCCGTTTATAATCCCACAGCAGTATGTGGGATGTTTCTTCAGTGTCCTGTCTTTATTTGTTGTGAGGTTCTTGTTTGTTTGTTTTAGTTCATTAGTTGTTTGAGTTGCTTCTTTCTGAACTGCCTTTATCTTTATTTTACTTATTTTTCTACTAGATTGCTTGCCTTCATCTACATTATTTTTCTGGATATTTTACATACTGTACATAGAGGTCTTGTCTTTTATATACTTTACAAATATTTCCTTCCAGATTGTTACTTGTCCTTATAATATTTATTTCGGGCAATATCTAATAAACTACATATGCATATATCTTTTATTTATTTATTTATTTATTTATTTAATCCCCACCCGAGGATATTATTTCCATTTACCTTTAGACAGAGTGGGAGGGAAGGAGAGAGAGAGAGACAGAGACAGAGACATCGATGTGAGAGGGACACATTGACCAGTGCCTCCCACATGACCCCAACCAGGACTGGGACGAACCACATCCGAGGTATGTGCCCTTGACTGGAATTGAACCTGTGACTCACTGGTCCGTGGGCTGACACTCTAACAGCTGCTGAACCAAATCAGCCGGGGCTACATACATCCTTCAAACTGCCAATGCCACTAGGAGGAATGTTCTCTAATGGTACACCTCCAGTGATTAAAATGCAGTAGTTGTTTATTGTAGCATTAGTTGTGATTGCCAAATGCTGGAAACTTCCCAACTGCTCCAACATAAGAGATTGTCTAAATTACTATGATGTATCCACATAATGGAGTATTGTGCTACTGTCATTAAAAAAAAAAGGACTTCCGGTCAAGACGGCGGGTAGGTAAACTTGGTATTGCCTCCTCCCACGACCACATCAAAGTTCCAACTACAGAATAACCATCATTCAAAACTGCCTGAAATCCAGCTGAATGGAAGTCCTACAACTACGGAATTAAAGCAGCAGCCACATCCAGACTGGTAGGAGGGCGGAGGGGACGGGCTGGTCCCACACCCACGTGTGGCGGATAAAAATCAGGAGGCTCCCGCGGCTGGGAAGGTCCTCCCTGAGGGCTGAGGGGACTCCGTCCCACACCAGGCGCCCCACTCAGGGTTCCAGTGCCAGGAAGAGAATCCCCATAACTTCTGGCTGGAAAAACCAGCGGGAACTGAGGCTCAGGGAGGCTGAGGTGGCTGGAGCCCCAGGCAGCTCCTTAAAGGGCCCGCACACGGATTTGTCAGACTCTCTCCCTCTAAGCTTAGAGGGGAGGCAGCTGGAGGGGCACCAGAGACACACAGGGAAGAACTGGGCTGTTTGGCACTGGAGCGAGGGCTGGAGAGGGGGCTTTCTCCAGGACAAACGTGCTGTCAGAGGCCTTTGTTCCTTTGGTGAGCCCTTCCCTGGGGCAGCAGACAGCCCCCATATCTGGGACTCCAGCAACCTGGCTCACACTGGTTGCCCGCCCTAGTGATTCCCTGAGGCCCCGCCCCACCCAACTTTCAGGCCCACCCAAGCTGTTGCCAGTTGCTTGACCATAGGATTAACCTGTCTGGGATCCAGTTTCAGGTTTTCCTAAATTCTTTCAAACAAGCAGCACCTGGTCTCAGATAGCCTCATACCTCTTGTTAAGTAATTTGCAGAAACAAACACAGAGAGGCAGCCAAAATGAGGAGACAAAGAAACAGGTCCCAAATGAAAGAACAGAACAAAACCCCAAGAAAAGAACTAAGCGAAATGGAGATAGGCAACCTAACAGACGCTGAGTTCAAAATACTGCTTATGCCCTGGCCGGTTTGGCTCAGTGGTTAGAGCATCCGCCTGCGGTCCGGAGAGACCTGGGTTCGGTTCCCGCTAAGGGCGCATACCTCGGTTGCAGTTTGTCCCCGGCCCTGGTCGGTCGTGCGGGTGGCAGCCACTCGATGTGTTCCTTTCACATCGATGTTTCTCTCTCTCTCTGTGTTCCTCTCTCTCCCTCCCACTCTACCTGAACAAAATAATGGGAAAATGTCCTCGGGTGAGGATAAAAAAAAAAACAAAAAACCAAAATACTGCTTATAAGGATGCTCAGTGAACTTAGTGAGGGACTCAAGAGCATCAAAAAGGACCAGTCAGAAATGAAGGAGGCATTAACTGAAATAAAGAATAATTTACACAGATTCAATAGTAGAGTATGTAAATCCAAGAAGCAAACCGTCAATTTGGAATATAAGGAAGCAAAAAACACCCGATCAGAATAGCAAAAAGAAAAAAGAATCCAAAAAAATGAGGATAATGTAAGGAGCCTCTGGGACAACTTCAAGGGTACCAACATTCGCATCTTGGGGGTGCCAGAAGCAGAAGAGAAAGAACAAGAAATTGAAAACCTATTTGAAACAATAATGGCAGAAAACTTCTCTAATTTGGTGAAGGAAACAGACTTACAAGTCCAGGAAGCACAGAGTCCCAAACAAGATGAACCCAAGAGGCCCACACCAAGACACATCATCATCAAAATGCAAAAGGTTCAAGACAAAGAGAGAATCTTAAAAGCAGCAAGAGAAAAGCAGTTAGTTACCTACAAGGGAGTTCCCATAAGCCTGTCAGCTGATTTCTCAAAAGAAACTCTATAGGCCAGAAGGCAGTGGCAAGAAATATTCAGAGTGATGAAAAGCAAGAACCTACAACCAAGATTACTCTACCCTGTAAAGCTGTCATTTAGAATCGATGGCCATATAAAGAGTTTCCCAAACAAGGAAAAGCTAAAGGAGTTCATTACCACCAAACCATTATTATATGAAATGTTAAAGGATCTTTTTGAAGGAAAAAGATAAAAAATATGAACAAAATGGCAATGAATACATATCTATTGACAATTGAATCAACAAACAAAATGAACAAGCAGAACAGAAACATTCTCATAGATATAGAGCACATTTTGATGGTTGCCAGATGGGAGGGGGGTTGGAGGAATGGGTAAAAAAAGGTGAAGGGATTAAGAAGTACAAATTGGTTGCTAGACTGACAAACTGCAAAGGAAAGGGGAGTTTGGGGCGCTGGGAAGAAATAAACCAAAGAACTTATATGCATATATGCATAACCAATGAACACAGACAACAGTGTGGGAAAAGGCAGGAGGGGGGCAGGAATGGGTCAATGGGGGAAAAATGAGGAACATCTGTAATACATTCAACAATGAAGATTAAAAAATAAATAAATAAATAAATAAATAAATAAAGGAAAAAGCCCAATTGATGTTTCTATTTCACATGGATGTTTCTATCTCTCTCTCAAAAAATCAATAAAAACAAGAATTTTTTAAAAAGGAGAGAAAGAAAAAAAGAATGAGGAAAATCTCTATGTTCAGATAAGAAGTTATTTCCAGTGTTTTGGAGATATATATATTTAATTAATATATTTTTAATTAATATATAGCCCGGCTGGTGTGGCTCAGTGGTTAAGTGTTGACCCATGCACCAAGAGGTTGCCAGTTTGATTCCTGGTCAGGGCACATGCCCAGGTTGTACTCCCGATCCCGGTGTGGGGCATGCAGGACGCGGCCCATTGATGTTCTCTCTCTCATCAATGTTTCTATCTCTCTCTTCTTTTCCCTTCATCCCTCTCTAAAATCAATAAAGACAAAAAAATAAAAAAACAACAAAGCAGGGAAATATAATGTTTTTCCCAAATAGCATCTGGTTGTCCGACACGCAGTTTGAGTGTTGACAAAAATATAAAGTCCTGTAATCAAAATCACAGTCAAGCCACAGAATATTTCTAACACCCTCAAAGTTTCTTTCTTTCTTTCTTCTTCTTTTTTTTTTTTTTTTTTTGCATGTGGCTATTCAATTATTCAGCACTATTTTTTGAAAAAACTATTCTTTTTCTATTGAATTGCCTTTAAACCTTTGTCAAAAATTGATCCTGTATGGGTTCATTTCAAGACTTTCTCTTGTTTCAATGCTCTATATGTCTATCCTTTCTCTACTAACACTCTACCTAAAAGTGTAACCTTAAAACTTTGAAATCAAATGATATAAGTCCTCCAGATTGTTCTTTTACAAAAATATTTTTGCTATTCTGGTTTCCTCGTTTTCCACATAAATTTTAGAATCAGTTTGTCAATGTCTACAAAAATTCTGCTGGGAAGTATACTGGAATTCTAGTGGACCTATAGATAAAATTGGGAGAAATTAACATCTTTACTATGTTGAGTCTTCCAATCCATGAACCTGTATGTCTGTCAATATATTTAGGTCTTTGATTTCTTTCATCAGTGTTTTTTTTAGTTTTTAGGATACAGATTTTGCAAATATTTTGTAAGATTATACCTAAATATTTAGGGTTTTAGTGGTATTATAAACGATAATGTCTTATTTATTTCAATTTTCATTAATAGTATGTAGAAATATTATTGACTTTGTATATTGACCTGGTATCCTACAACCTTGCTAAACTTAATTATTCAAAGAGCTTTATTAATAAATTTGCTAGATATTTTGTGATTTTCCTACGTACACAATCATGTCATCTGTCAATGGAAACAGTTGTATTCCTTCCTTTCCAACCTGTATGCCTTTTACTCCTTGTTCTTGCCTAATCGCATTGACTATAACATTCAGTACAACATTGAAATGGAGAGCAGACATCCTTGCCTTATGTAGAAAGTGTTGAGTCTTTCCCAATTATGATATTCACTTTATGGGTTTTTTTTTCTTTTGGTATGTGCCCCTAGCGGGAACCGAACCTGGAACTCTCCAGTCCGCTGGCCAATGCTCCAACCGCTGAGCCAAACCGGCCAGGGCCACTCTGTTTTTATAGATTCCCTTTATTAGGTTGAGGAAGTTCCCTTCTAGCCCTAGTTTGCTGAGGGTTTTTTAAAAAAAATTGTGAATAGATGTTTAATTTTGTTAAATGCTTTTTCTACATCAATTAATGTGAGCAGATAGTTTTTCTTCTTTAGATTGTTAGTAAGGCACATTATGTTGATTTCTGAATACTGAAGCAGCCCTGCATTCCTGGAATAAACCCCACTTGGTTGTGTTGCATTTTAAAAAATATATTATTAGATTCGATTTATTAATATTTTGTGAGTGATTTTTGCTTCTGTGTTCGTGAGGGATATCGACCTATAGTTTTTTAGACTATTTTATTTTATTTTTTACTTTAGACAGTTTTTTAATTCTTTTAAAAATATGGAACGCTTCACAAATTTGCGTGTCATCCTTGAGCAGGGGCCATGCTAACCTTCTCTGTATTGTTCCAATTTTAGTATATGTGCTACCAAAGCCAGCACTTTTTGGACTATCTTTGTCTCATTTTGGTATATGGATAATTCTGGCCCCTTAAAATAAGTGTTTCCTCATCTTCTATTTTCTGGAAAATATTGTGTGTAGAATTGGTGTTATTTCTTCTTTAAGTGTTCAGTAGAATTCTCCAGTGAAACCGTTTGGGAGTGGAGATGACTTTTTTGGAAGATTATAACTACAAATTCTTTAATAGTTAAAGCACCATTCGGATGATCTCTTTCATGAGTTTGGTAGTTTGTGGTTTTCCCAGGATTAGTCATTCAATCTAACTTGTCAGATTTATGTGTAAAGATTTGTTTCTTTCAGTCCTTTTCGTGTCTGCAGAATTGATGGTGATATCCACTCTTTCACTCCCGATATTGATAATTTGTCTTCTCTTTTTTTCATTGACAGTCTTAAGAGAAGTTTACTAATGTAATTGTCTTTTCAAAGAAACAGCTCTGGGTGGGGTTTTTTCTGTCTCTATTTTGCTGTTCTCAATTTCATCCATATCTACTTTTACTTCCTTCCTTTGGCTTGTTTTGGTTTATTTTTTTCTTCTTTTTTTTTTTATCCTCACCTGAGGACATTTTTTTTATATTTTGTTCATCAGATAGAGTGGGAGAGAGAGAGAGAGAGAGAGAGAGAGAGAGAGAGAGAGAGAGAGAGAGAGAGGGAGAGAAACATCGACATGAAAGGGACACATCGAGTAGTTGCCACCCGTATGACCTTACCAGGGCTGGGGACAAACTGCAACCGAGGTAAACCGAACCTGGGTCCCTCGAGACTGCAGGCTGATGCTCTAACTGCTGAGCCAAACCAGCCAGGGCTCTTTTTCTATTTCTTGAGGTGAATGCTTTGATTATTGCTTTGAGACCTCTCTTTTTAAATATCAGCATGTGATGCTCTAAATTCCCCACTAAGCACTGCTTTAACTACAACTCACAGATTTTGATTTATTCTTTTCTCTTTTATTCAGTTTTATATACTTTAAAATTTCCCTTTTCCCTTTGACCCATGTATTATTTGAGTGTGTTCAATTTTCAAGTGTTTGGATTTTGTTGCTATCTTCTTTTTAATCCTCACCCGAGGGCATTTATTTTTGCATTTATCTTCAGATAGAGTAGGAGGGAGAGAGGGAGGGAGAGAGAGAGAGAAACATCGATGTGAGAGAGACACATGGACTGGTTGCCACCCGCACAACCCCAACTGGGGCCAGGGATGAACCACAACCAAAGTAAATGCCCTTAGCAGGAACCAAACCCAGGACTGTCTGGTCCATGGACCAACGCTCTAACCACTGACCCAAACTGGCCAGGGATTTGTTGCTGTCTTTTTACTGATTTCTAATTTAAATCAATTATAGTCAGAGAGCCCTGGCCGGTTTGGCTCAGCGGTTAGAGCGTTGGCCTGCGGTCTGGAGAGACCCGGGTTCGGTTCCCACTAAGGGCACGTACTTCGGTTGCAGTTTGTCCCCGGCCCTGGTTGGTCGTGCGGGTGGCAGCCACTCGATGTGTCCCTTCACATCGATGTTTCTCTCTCTCTCTCTCTCCCTCCCACTCTATCTGTACAAAAAATGGAAAAATATCCTCGGGTGAGGATAAAAAAAAAATTATAGTCAGAGAGATGGTCTATATGTTCTCTGTTCTTTCATATTTGTTAAAGTCTGTTTTATGACCCAAGATAGACCAAGAATGTTCCCTGTGTGCTTGAAAATAATGTGTATCCTCCTCTTGTTGGGTGGAATATTGTATAAAGGACAATTGGGTCACCTTGCTTGATTATCTTCTTTAGTTCCTCCATATCCTTTCTGATATTGAAATTTTTTTTAAAATTTTTAATTTTCTTTTAGAGAGAGAGAGAGAGAGAAAGGAAGAAAAAGAGAAACATCAGTTTGTTGTTCCACTTATTTATACATTCATTGGTTGGTTCTTGTATGTGCCCTGACTGGGGATCAAACCTGCAACCTTTGTGTGTCAGGATGACACTCGAACCAACTGAGCTACCTAGCCAGGGCTCCTTTCTGATTTTTTAATTTAGTGTTTATATAACTTATGAGAGAAGATTTTTAGACTTTCCTATAAATGTGGATTTATCTATTTTTTCTTTCAATTCTATCAGCTTTTAGTTCATGTATTTTACAGCTCTGTGGTTTGGTACATACACATTTAGTAGTATTATGTGTTCTTGGTTAATTGTCTCCCTCCTTGTCCCTTGCAATTTCCTTTGCTCTGAAGTCTACTTTACCTGTTATTAATGTAGCCACTCCTGCTTTCTTTTGATTAATGTTTGTATGTTACATTGGTTTTTTCCAATCTTTTACTTCCAATCTACTCATGTCATTTAAGTGAATTTCTTATAGGCAGCATCTATTGAGTCATGATATTTACCCACTGTGTTAAGATCTGTCTTTTAATTGGTTTATTAACTTCTCTTCTGTAAGCATTTGCAAAACATGCCACTTCCTTCTGTCTTCTATGGGATCCAAGGAGAAATGCACTGTCATTCAAATTGTTGTTCCTCTATAGGTGATGTGTCATCTTTCTCTTGCTGCTTTCAAGTTCTTTTCTTTGTCTTTAGTTTTTAGAATTTATGTGTATCTGATGTCTATTTCTTTGAATTTAACCTGTTTGGGTTTGATCAGATTTTTTTTTTTTTTATCCTCACCCAAGGACATTTTTCAATTTTTTGTTCAGATAGAGTGGGAGGAAGAGCGAGGGAGAGAGAGAGAGAGAGAGAGAGAGAGAGAGAGAGAGAGAGAGAGAGAAACATCGATGTGAAAAGGACACATCGAGTGGTTGCCACCCGTACCCGTACGACCCAACCAGGGCTGGGGACAAACTGCAACCGAGGTACGGGCCCTTAGTGGGAACCAAACCTGGGTCTCTCTGGACCGCAGGCCAACGCTCTAACCACAGAGCCAAACCGGCCAGGGCGGGTTTGATCAGTTTTGAGCCTGTAGGTTTACCAAACTTAAGGAGTTTTTAGCTATTATCTCTGCAGCGCTTGAAGGGAAGAGGAAGGAGGACCATCTCTACTCACCTTAGTGCAGGAAAGGAGATGGTCAACAGGGCTTCATCTCAGTCTCTGCAGGGGAGAGGGACCCTTACCCCAGCAAAGGCAGGGATGATCAACAGGACTGTACCCCAGGGCTCCTGGGAGAGAGCGGTAGGGCACCACCTCATTAACACAGGATGAGGTGGTGCCATGGTAGGGCCAAGCTCTACCATCCCCACAGTAGCCTGTGTAGCTTCTTTTGTGGTATTCACCTAGAGCAGAACAGGCATAGGCAAAGGGAACAGAGTTCCATTTTAAAATGAAAAGCTTTTCTCACATTGTTATTAAATAAGATAACCTAGTAAATCAGAGAGAGTAATAATTCTGGCAGTGATATCTCAGAGCGGGTTGAGATTGCTACTCCCACAAATGATAATCAGCTTAACTTTGCCAGGTCTACACAGTTACTCAAAACCAAATCTAAAAGTAACTTCTATGATCAAAGGATCAGTTGATTTGGGAAGATATTTATCTTTTTTTTTTTTAACTGCTGAGGAAAGGAGGGAGGGAGGAAGGGAGGGAGGGAGGAAGGAAGGAAGGAAGGAAGGAAGGAAGGAAGGAAGGAAGGAAGGAAGGAAGGAAATTTATATCTTTATCATGTTCAAATTTAGTATCATCAACAAGAGATCTATTTTCCCTTTTGTTCGCTGATAATGCTGTTTTTTCTGTTGGCAGTTATTACTCCAAAGCAATATGTGATAACACCAGCATAGTATGTGTGGTGTCAAGAAATCGTGAATCCAGCGTTCTGGTGATGTATTCTTTGAATATGTGATATGGAAACTGATGCAATTAACCTTGCATTGATTTCCTCGATGTAGTAAAGACAATTCTATTTGCAAACCCAGAATGATTATTTTGGTGCAATTAGGGGGAAAACAGTAATTTAAATATGTACAACGAATCAGATATTGTGACAAATACTACAGATGACTCACTATTAAGACACATCGTGGAGAAACATATCCTTTGTCCCTGTGATCAGGGAGAGTGTAAAATACTAAGGTAGTGAACTATGAATAGTCACACAAATATACAATTCCAAACAATTCAAGGGAAACATCTTATGGGGGAAAGTGTGAATTTAGATGGAGACTGGTTTAAAAGTGAAGGCATCTGTGTCAGCCAGTATTCTTGCCTATAAGCAACCAAAAATAAATGTAAAATTTAAGAAAAAAAAAAAAAGTATTAGAAAAATATAGAGGTTAATATCTAAAGGTAGCTAGAAGAGACTCCGAATATAAATGGGAATAAACATGCCCAAAAGGACTAAGAAATAGAAAATACATCAGAGTCTAAATCACATGACCATCTTGATTTGCATATCACCACATCCATTGTAATGGATATGATAAAGAACTGGCCCACTATCCTTGTATCACTAGCTCAGGATTCGGAGTTCTGGGAGAGAGTACTAATAAATCAAGCCTAAAACACAGAGTCTACTCTCCTGGGGAGGGGGAGGATTGGAAGAAAGATGACCTGAGGGGTTGATGGTACTCTAATGGAAATGTAATCTCAATGGGAGATTTCTTCAAAGAACAGTGTGGGTTTCTGAGCTGTTTAGTGCCTACTATCCCCTCTCTGTATAAATAAACTTGAAGCTATGACCAAGAGGATACAGGAAGGGAAGCTCAGTGAAGGGACTACGGAGGAGGGCAGGGGCAGGGTCAGGGTCGGGCGGAGGAGGGCAGGGTCAGGGTGGGGCGGGGAAGGGCAGGGTCAGGGTGGGGCGGGGAAGGGCAGGGTCAGGGTCGGGGAAGATGACATAAGATGCATTATAAATAGCACCTGGGAAAGCTCTGCGACAGGCATGTGTTTGAGCTGTTTAGTGCCTACTATCCCCTCTCTGTATAAATAAACTTGAAGCTATGACCAAGAGGATACAGGAAGGGAAGCTCAGTGAAGGGACTACGGAGGAATTCAGAATCAAAGTCTCTGTGGCTGAAGTCAGTATATACTAAGACAAGGGTGGAAAGTCAGAAAGTGACCATTCACACAGAATTTGCAGGATATAACCCAAATATTTAATGTGTATTAAGTGCAATGGTAAGATTAATTATTTTGGTTTTTGTTTTGTTTTTAGCAAAGGACAAAAAAATACCAATATTTTCTAGACCTATGTTTTTAAGAGATCCTTTTCATTGTCATTTAGAAAATTGATTTAAAAGTAGCCATAGTGACAAGAAAGCCAGTTAAGCCATTTTCTTGATTAGAATCTCTTATCTCTGTTATAAAGATAGTAGGTGGCAATGGAGAGACCAAGATAAAAGATGAGATAGAAATATGTAAAGAAATATGTAAAATATGTGGAATATATGTGCATGAGCACGAAGAAGGTAATTTGTGGAAGGACACAGGAATAAATAGGATCCCCCGAAGTCTGTGATTTCTGAATAACTTACGTTAAAGAGAGATAAACATTGAATTACTGTTAATCTTTCATTTTTTTCCAGAAATAAGTAGTCAAAATGTTTTTACTGATTTTTGAGAGAGACGAGAAGGGGGAGAGAGAGAGAAACATCCATGTGAAAGTGACACATTGATTAGCTGCTTCCCGTACACCCCCTACTGGGGACTGAGCCCACAACCCGGGCATGTGCCCTGACCAGGAACTGAAGTGGGACCTCTCAGTCCATGGGACCATGCTCAATCCACTGAGCCACACCGGCCAGGCAACGAGTAGTCAAAATGTATAGAGAAAATTTTCTACACGGAGCACCTAAATGTTGTTCAAATTTGTAAAAACAAAACTTTGAAACTGTAAGGAATCGGGGGCGCCGCCAAATAAAACAGAGAAGAGACTGGAGAGCCAATCAGCTGAATAAACAGGGATCAGGCTTTATTGGGTACACTCTGGGCAGGTTCACAGAGTCCTAGAAGCCGCGCTCAATGTAGGGGCTCGTGTCTTTTATATCTGCCGGTTGTATCTGGAATTTGTCCCTTAGGGTTTGGCCCTGCGGGGGCTATGCATGGAGCCTCTGGAATGTGAATAGATAAGAGCAAGATGGGAGTTAATCTATAGGCTCCAGGCAAGCCGTTCAGGGTGGGAGACAAGGCTGAGCAAGGTGACAATGGTCGAGCACTTTGCCTGGCGCCAGTCCCCCAGGCCATCGGACAGAAACCCATGGTGAAGGTGGCTGGAATAGAAGAGAAACCTTCATGTTGGGGGAATGGTGGAAAAAATCCAGAAAAGTCAACAAATGCTTTTACCTTATTCTTAGAATTTTAAAGGACTAAGTGATGGGAGATGGGGCCTCTGCTAAATTGGAGGTGAGGTCAGCGATCTGTGAGATCCAGGACCCTCAGAAAAGTAATAGTCCTTGTAGGTAAACTGAAGGAAAATCTCCCCACTAGAGAAGGATGATGGGGACAGCCATTGTTTTCAGCCACACATACGTGTGTGTGTGGGAAACAAAGCAGAGAACCATTCTCTCCAGAGAATCCCTAACCAAACAATACTCTCCTCAGAGATGGAGCTCCCATTAGTTGAGGTCCCAGGATAATACAGATGTCACATACAAATTCAAGTAATTTGAGGAAGGTTTATTAAAGGGACTACTATAAATTTTTGTTTGGAATGAAAAGAATTAGAGAAATTATTAATCTAGCGTTATTTTAGCCCATCCTTTAAAAAAAATGGTTTTATTGATTTTTTTAGAAGGGAGAGAGAGAGAAACATTGATCGGTTGCCTCCTGCACATTCCCCACTGGGAGGATCCTGCATGCCTCACAACCCCGGCACGTGCCCTGCCTGGGAATCCAACTGGGACCTCTCAGTGACACTCAGTCCACTGAGCCACACCGGCTGGGTTAGCCTGTCCTTTTTACGGACATGCCATGAGGCTGTGGCAGCCCACTTCCGACTTGTGCTCGTTAATCCAGGCTGGGTTTTGTTTCTGCCTCAGTCACAGGAAGCTCTACCAGTGGGTATCACGGGTGGGAACCAGTTACCTTTCCCCTCCTAGCAAGGCCAGGCCAATGGTATCGTAGCCTACTTAGAGGAGGGGCACTGATTCCTGCGGCTCGCCTTTTATTGCCCCCGTGTGGCATGTGCCTACAGCCACGACGTGCGCGTGGGGGCTAACTACAGACGAGAGAATGAAACAAGCCTGCTCTCATTATTAGAGCACCTCTACCAGATATCATTGCTTTATGGATGACATTCAGAATAGCATGGATAAATGGTTTAAAGCTATAGGTTTGACTAACATGTTCTATTTTAGTAAAAGTTTCCCAGGAAAGAGAGGCCTCCTGATCTCCCCTCCATGTACCTTGCTGCACTAAAGGACGGTGGAGCGAGCCCGGACCTGTTCCCGACACCCAGGAGACAGATCGAATTGCCCTGAACCCGGGAGACAAACAGACCCCTTGCAGATGACCTCTGACTTGAACTCTGTTCTCTTGCTGTGCCTCTTCCTTATCTGAGAAGCTCCTATGCTCGCCAGCGTGACTTCACATCCACTGGAATGTCACCCTAGCCCTACTTGTCGTTGGCTCCCAAGGGAGGGGGTCTACATGCTTGCTAGCACATCCTGCTGCCCATGGGTAGAGAACACTCACCAAGTTCTACAGAAAGTCAGGGGCATACACCAAAGATGTCACAATATCCCAGCTAACTAACCGGACAAAACAGAACCTTCTCCTTTCCAGATCTGTTTTCCGGGCTCTCCACAGCTACATGGGCAGCCTGGCTGCGAGGCAGCTTGCAAGTCCTCGTCTGAGCCTTTATAGGATTCTGGATCCTGAAGCTGCTTTATCAGTGGCCAAATACAGATTTTTTTATGTCTAGTTTTCATTTTTAAGTTACAAATATTTAAATTAGTATTTATTTAAATTTAAGTGTGTCTTATTTTAAATTTTATTTAAATTAACGATATTTATTAAATAGATTGTTTAAAATAATCCAAAGGAGCAGATTTTTCGCTCTTTGGAGCCTTCCTGCTTTTCATAGCCCCAGCGAAACTTCGCCTGATAACCTGTGGTTGTCGGCCCCAGGCTGCTAGTGCCCTCCAGAGCTCCTCCACCCAGAACCCACACCGACAGGCACACTGTGCTGCTGAGCTCCATCACCGAGACACGGAGGTCCCCTTGTCCCATCTCCTCTCTCCCGGAGTACCCTTGCCCTCCTCGCTTTCTGTATGGTGACCTCTGCACCATAAGCTTCTAGATGGTTCATGAGGTGAGGAACTTGCCCTCTGTGCAACCCTCTCCAAACACCACTCAATAAAGCTCATGTGTTACCACCTCTTCTGGTCGTATCTCTTTTCCTCGATCAGTCCCCAGATCCTTTGGACCCCTATAGACCCGTATCCCACATGTGTAAAGAACTCTCAGGAGAAAAAAACAAAAACAAAAAACTCAAAATTCAATAAGAAAACAAACTAAAAATGGGCAAAATATTTGAAGAGCTACTTCAAAGATGATGTACAAGTGGCAAATAAGTACACGAGCAGATGCTCAACATCACTAGCCATTAGAGAACTCTGAATTAAAACCACCATGAGATACTGTTGTACACCTATTAGACTGGGGGAGGGGTGACAATACCAAGCGTTGAGGATATGAAGCCATTACAATTTTCTTTTTTTTTTTTTTTTTTTTTTTATCCTCACCCGAGGACATTTTTCCAGTTTTTGTTCAGGTAGAGTGGGGGAGAGAGAGGAACAGAGAGAGAGAAACATCGATGTGAAGGGACACATCGAGTGGTTGCCACCCGCACAACCGACCAGGGCCGGGGACAAACTGCAACCGAGGTACGTGCCCCTAGTGGGG